ACTTAACCTACACGCATGTAAATAATTAAAGCGCATATACTGTATTAGAACTGCATCGCATATAATTATTTAATTCAATCGTAGCATTTGTGAATTCACAATTATGCTTAATTATGATTTTTAAATGGGTTTAATATATCATGAAGCCTTGGAAAACAGACGAATAATGTGTTTTATACATTCTCGTCTGTGAAATGCGCCACTTCTGGTATTTTGCCAGTTAGTCGACGTGAGCAAAATTAAGTGGAGGATTTTAAAAAATCGAATAGTCGAATAAAATCGATGAATCACGACAGCCCTAAAGGCATCTGAGATTAAGTTGATATTAAATAGAGTGTAACAGAGAACTGAGCAATGAAAGAGCAAACTCTGAGCGATAACATCTTCCTGTGGGAAGTCACATAGTGTTGTCGTGACTTGCATCACTATTACTATTTTGCAACCTCCCAGAACGCTCTGGCATCGTGGCAGGGAGTTTTGCACGGGCAAACACCGCTTGTGTTTACTTCACAACTTGTTAATTTGTCTGAGTTACACACATGTGTGTGTAGGAGTTCATCACATTTTCTTAGAAGTGGAGCTTCTGTAAAAGCCACAGAAGGCGATTCATTCACAGCTCACCACCACAAAACGACTGCAGCATGCAGGCCTGTACAGGTCTTCACAGTTTCTCCTTACATAAGACCGCAGTCAGCTATTAATCACACACAAGTTGATGCATGTGAGAGGTAGGGGCTTTTTTGGGAAGATGGCATGATGTTTGTCTTCGTCATCAACTCATGACCTGCAGACTCATTTGAGAAAAGCCAGACAGTGGACAGTTTGAGTAATGCGCTTGAGGGAAGTCTGTTCAGATCTGCACGACATGCGTGCATCAACATGTACGTGCGTGCATAAAACATTCCCCTCACTTTCTCCTGTAAAACACCAGTGACTCGCATCACCATTACTATTACTTTTGCAACCACCCAGAAAGCTCTGGCATCGCGAGTTTTGCACGCTCGTATTTCCTTCTCAACATATTAAATAGTCTGAGTTACACACGTGTGTAGGAGTCCGTCGCATTTCCAGCGCTGCATCAAAGAGGAACGACTGTTTGAAATGTCACACTCTTGTGTTTTGCTTTGTGTTTTTCGCATTTTTAAGAACACCCACACTCTGAGCATGCATTTAGGCATGCAGACGCACACACAAGGACTTTTGTCGTGCACAACAACAGCTTTCATTGTCCTGTTAAAAAGGATACGGTTCCAGCTGCCAAACTCCTGCTCTTTTCCCCAACCGTTATGGGATAACGCCAGGTTTTCTTTGTTCATGGCTACTGACGCTGATTTACAATGACTTTGATTTACAAAAATATGAAGCAGCACAACTGTTTTCAACATTGATAATAATCAGAAATGTTTCTTGAGCAGCAAATCAGCATATTAGAATGATTTCTGAAGGATCATGTGACACTGAAGACTGGAGTAATGATGCTTAAAACAAATTATAAATTACATTTTAACCCTCATAATGCATTTGGGTCCGTTTTGACCTGTAAGAGATACATAACAATTTCTAAAACCTGCATAGTTTTTAGAAAGTGAACGAGAGTTTGCGAGTCTTTAAACAACCTCAAAGTATACATCATTAATTTTTTTCAGATTTTTTGCAGTCATTTTTTAAGAGATATAACCATTTAAACAAAGTTAAACGTTTGTGTTTGGGTTATTTTGGACCCGGATATGTATGGAGTACAATTAGGTTTCAGAAATACTTTTTGTTGAACTATCTATTGAGTTATATTAGTGTCAAAAACTTTAGCAAAATATATATTAGCCTTTTCCCCATATCTCACACACTTTTGGGACTGAATTGTGTTGATAAACATGAATATGTTCACTTATTGAAGAACCACTGCAGCGTGAAAACTAATCAATTTTTTCATCTGAAAGTGAAAGTTTATGCAAGTAAAATTAATTTATTTTGTTTGAAAATTTTCGGATTAATTTTTTTGTAAGAAATAAATGTGTAGGTTTCATCAATTTGGACTTTGGGACTGAATTGTGTTGATAAACATGAATATGTTCACTTATTGAAGAACCACTGCAGCGTGAAAACTAATCAATTTTTTCATCTGAAAGTGAAAGTTTATGCAAGTAAAATTAATTTATTTTGTTTGAAAATTTTCGGATTAATTTTTTTGTAAGAAATAAATGTGTAGGTTTCATCAATTTGGACTGTTTTTGAGCAATCTTGAGTTATAAAGTCAAAGGAATTTCATTCAATTCCATTTATTCCATTGCTGATATAATCTGAGAATACTGATAATTCTCAGATTATATATATTTTTTAAATTACATGCAATTATATATTCATATAGGATTTCTTTTGCTGCATTTATTTGAACAAAAGTACAGAAAAAAACAGTAAAATTGTGAAATAGTATTGCAATTTAAAATAATGGTTTTCTATTTTAATATACTTTAAACTGTAATTTATTTCTGTGATCAAAGCTGTATTTTCAGCATCATTACTCCAGTCTTCAGTGTCACATGATCTTCAGAAATCATTCTAATATGCTGATTTATTATCAGTGCTGGAAACAGTTGTGCTGCTTCATATTTTTTTGGAATCTGTGATACTTTTTTTCAGGATTCTTTGATGAATAAAAAGTTAAAAAGAAAAGATTTCTACATTTTTGAATTAATCAAAAAGGGGCAAATGCAGTAAAAACATGGAAACATTCAAAACTTTGAACGTTTTTCACTTTCACTCATTAATGAGAAGTTGCTGATCAGATACAATATGATTATTTTTCAAAGATTCAGTACTTCACAAACTGTGGCAACTAGTTGTTCATCTAGATCTGTGATTTATGCATTAAAACATTTATTTTGTAGACAATGGCTTGAGTTTGTCAAAAAGCGTATCATGAATCATGGCTCTGAACATCTGCTAAACCTGATGAAATCATTAGTTCATGACCATAATATCATAAACGTAGTATCAGTGCATGTGTGCAAGTTCCCTTTTGTGGTATTGAGCAGAATGAAGTGCATTGTGGGATTGGGTGGGTAGCAAGTGGACAAATAACTGTCATGTTTTGGTGAAATTAAGAGGCAGAACTACTTCCTAACATGTGGCAATATAGTGTTAGAGCTGTTTGGAGTGATTTACAGTGGCTACACATAGTATTTGGACACTTAATACACATTTAAAACGATCTGAATGCCATTGCATTTTATAAAAAAATATAAAAAGCAAGTCATTTGTTTGAAACAGCAAACCGTACTCCCATGCACGAATGCTGATGTCTCCCTAAATGAATGAATCATGATGTTTTCTCATCTCTCTGCAGTGAAAGAGGAGCCACGTAGCAGTCAGGCCGTTCACGAGTGTTTAGGGGAGGTTCTGCGTGTTTTGCGGCAGGTAATCAGCACGTACCCTCTGCTGAACACTGTGGAGACGCTCACCGCAGCAGGGACTCTTATCTCAAAGGTCAAAGGTCAGTCCAACTGCCATGTTAAACTCATCTTTTTAAACTCGTGTCATTGGTTTCTCCTCCTCAAACTCTCACCCAAAACGTGATCGCAAACACATGAAGCAAATAATTCGGCGCAAGCATCAGATGAGCAAAGCCACATCAGATACGAGCAGTTACCACACAACCAGCATCTGATCTTATGAAGGAAAAACACGTAGAGTATGCAAACATGAACAACTGAAATACAGGTGTTTCCACTTTTTCATTTAAACGTGATGTCACTTCTAGTTTTATTTGTTATCAAAGCAGAAGCATGTGTTTGTGACCGTGAAGTTGTTCTCTTCTCCATGTTTGTCAGGGTTCAGTTATGAAGGCACCACTGACGCTCAGAAGAAAGACTTTGAGAAGGCCATTGAAACCATTGCTGTGGCATTCAGCAGCAAGTAAGACCCAACGCAATGCTTTCACACAGATTACCTGCTCATTTACTTTATTATAAATTAAAATGCAATTATATTAAATGTAATTAAATAAAACATTGTGGCCGATACCGATAACCGATAATTCTTTAAATTTGAAAGCCGATAACCGATATGTTGGCTGATAAATCTAAATCAAAATAATCTAAATCTAAAATAAAAATGCATAATGCAAACAAGTCATTGGACAACGTTACTTGCATGTAAAGAATCAAAATGCATGTGCCACGGATAAATAAAACGGAATAGCCTTTGCACGGACAATAATTAAATTATTTTAATTAAACCATATTGTTGGTGAAAATAATAAGATAAAAATAAAAGTGGCATAATGCATCAACTATTTTGAAAAAGAAACATCTTAAATTAATACCACTGTTTCAGATATCAGCATTGCTGTTCGAGCTGCGTGCGCTGAAGCTGAAGAGCTGAATGAACACCAGTAAACTGAAGTGCTTTGTTTGCGGGTTAATTAGGCCAAATGAGAATCAGATATTTATACATCATAAACATAATATTACAACTTATATGCACAAAAATAGACATATGCACAAGTGAACTTAAACTAAGTTATGTGCTAATCAGAATGTGTACTTTATTTTGTCCTGCATGTTCTCATTATAATTTTATGAAGCCTATATGAAAGACTTGCCCTGCACATGTTGCACTTAACTGTATTTTCCTTTTCGAAGTGATTCAAATAATATTTCAAGCAATTAAAATCCATCATGGTGAACAGTGTGTCTCTGAAGGAAATAATGCATTATTTATCGGCCAAATTTTTTTATCGGGTTGATAACGATATCAGTAAAAATGAACATTTATCGGCCGATACCGATATGGTGGCCGATATATCGTGCATCCCTATTAAAATGTGAAATTTATACTGCTCTGCATTATCCATCATAACATTATCTTGTGCATCCAAATACAGATTTTATCTAAGAACGATTACAGAAGAACAGAGAAGATCAAAATCTCTTTAATATCTCAGATGTTTCTATCCAAAAGATTAAACGAAGAGGAAATCAAAACTTTTCAGATTTTTCTCATGCCCCAGTAATCTCACATGTGTCTCCTCTAGAGTTTCAGAAGAGATCTTCTGAACAGTTTCTCAAGCTGTGCTCAGATTTACCCATATATTGTATGCAGGCAAAAGTCAGAGATCTCAATATGAACTCAAAATGATCTGAGCTGCTCTCCACATTCGCTTTATACCTCTTATTCTCATGACTTCTGAGCTACAAAAGAGCAGCATCTGAGCAGTATTTTCTCTTTCTGTCAGTGTTTCAGAGTTGCTGATGGGAGAGATTGACAGCACTACTCTTCTGTCCCTGCCGCCGACAGAAAAGAGCAGGGTGAGTGTGTGTGTGTGTGTGTGCGGATGTTGTTGGAAGCGTGTGTGTGTGTGAGTCGCTTCCTGCGTTGTCTTGCAAGCAAATTGTTTCCTCCACACCTCTATACAGACTCGACAGAGTCCCTGACGACGTGAGTCTTCAAGAAACACTTCTTAGAATGCCACTGATGACAAATGAATCATTTTAATGTCCAGAAGAGACACTCAAATCATTTCCCAGAAACAACCAGAAGTCGCACTTCCTTCATTAAAATGCACTTTACCATAGAGTTGTTGAACAGTGAATTTTGAATCATGCTACTTTGAATCTGTATTTACCAAGCGATTACTCATTATTTACAGTAGTTCAGTTTTAGTCAAGAAACTTTTTTAAAGAAGGACTGCACTACAAACTACTAACAAAAGTAGCTTAGTACTTGAAGATACTTAAAGGGGCAATGCTATTTTAAAAATATAACTCTTCAGTGATACAATTTATTAATTTTTGGTGCAAAAACAAAGAGGGCTTTTGAGTAAATAAACAATTAGATAAACAGTTAAATATAAAAAAATGTATTGTGAGAAAATGTTAGAATTTTTATCAAATATCAATTTGAAAGATTGTTTATAATTATTTATTTATTTAGAGTTTGTAAAAATAATATTGTTAAATTATTGTAGACAATTTATTGAAGTATTGTTATTAAGACTATTTTTTAAATCTTCTAATTTTTGAATTAGCCTTCGATTCTGCATTGCTATAAAATAATAAATAAAAAGTAAACATCTGAATAATAATTATTAGCTAGAAATAAACAGCAGGATTTAGCTAAAAATTTAATAATTAAAAATAATTAATATTTGTGAAAAGCTAATTCATTAAATCATAAGAATGTAAAATTAAAAGAAATGAATCATTTTAGAATAAAAGCAACCAAGATAAAACAAAGAAAAGATAAAATATTTTATTTGTTTACCTACATGTCATGTGACCATTAACCAACATCAAAGAATCATGAACATGTAAATGTGTTGTTAAATTATTAAAAGTTTAATTTTAAAATTTCTGGATGACTTCTATTTTCTATTATTTCTAAGCGATTATTTTGATTTAGATTTATCAGCCAACATATCGGCTTTCAAATTTAAAGAATTATCGGTTATCGGTATCGGCCAAAATGTTCATATCAGTGCATCCCTACATTGACAAAAGAGTTGCATATGATTTTCCAGTGTTGCGTATGATGGCGAGAGTGTGTTCAGTTACTGCTTCCTCAGTAGTACTTTCAGCCGCTGTAAGGTGAAGTAATACTACTAATGGAAGCACCAAATCTACCCCACAGCGCTGAGAAAAGGAAGTCATATATACACTACTGCATCTCACCGCATGTATCTGACTCTAACCTCAGCCTCAAAATCAACATGAAATCAAAATCCACACAATTTAATTTCATAATGCACATTATTACCGAAAATGTAAAAACTAGCTCTGCCTCTTTCCTGTGTGTGTTTAGTCAATGGAGGACCTGTACAGGGTGTCATCAGGTCAGGGTCCTGAAGGAGGAGGAAAATACGACCACCAGGACTGCAGTGAGTGAATCACTGTTTTATTGTCTTTAGTAATGCATAGAATAGCAGACCAACTACTATTTTTGAAAGTATGTAGTATGCATAGTGTGCACCGTATGCACAGAATACAATATATATTCTATCATGTGCAGAAACTAGATCCCACAATGCAATGCACTCAGCACCATCTCTAGTGTAATGAATGGAGCGGAAGTGATATCAACAGTGATTTTTAACTGAGAGCTGAGAACTTGACTCATTATTTGATCACATGTAAAAAAAAATTACTATTTATTTATGCAATGATAACCAAACATAACTCACATGCATCGTAAAACATTTATTGTTAATACTCACATAGTATATACTGCTCAGTGTATATATATATATATATATATAGAGATACATATAAATATTTAAATAAATTATAAATATATTTTTTAATATTTTAAAAATTCAATATTATATTATTATTATTATTTTTTTATTTTTTATTTGTTCATATATGGGATGGCTGATGTTTACCGTGTGTGTCAGCAGTGAGTCCACAGGAAGTTGATATTCTCCTGCAGCGCAGTGAAGGCGGCGTGGACTCGGCTCTGAATTATGCCAAATCTATCGCCAAATACATGAAGGACATCATCAGCTACGTAGACAAGAGAATCGCTCTCGGTAATGCCATTTTCTTGACCTGTCTGGTGGTTTGTGAAACACATGTGTCTGTCTCTCTTCTAAATGGCTTCCGGTAATATACTCAGACCTCTTTATATGAATGCATTTCAAAGCCATCCACCTAGACCTCTCTATTTTTCTCTTTCACAGAGAATGAGTTTTCTAAAGGTCTTCAGAGACTCTACCAGTCCTGCAAACAAAACATCATTCAGGTACATCGGCGTGCTTCCCTTGCGCTTGTTAGATTGTGTTTCTGCAGATTGAAATAACACTAGTGTTTATGTTGTAAAACAGTCACCAAAGAATACGAATTCTGTCATCAAGGTCAAAAACATCTTAAAAGACACCATAATAAACTATCATAAAAAAATCTTAAAAGTGATTTGCAAAACCTGTGCAGTATATTTCAACCACATGTAGCATACGAGTCATATAGACTGTTTTTAAATTATGATAATTTTATGGTGTTTTTAGTCATTTTTGCACACTGTCAGCCCCAGTTACTGTCAACTTTTGTTTTATTGAAAAAAAGCAGTGTGAACATAGCCTGTGTTCCACAGAAAATGAAAAATCAGGGTTAGAATTTTTATTTAAATACAGAATTATCAACTATTCCTTTAAGTGATACGGAATCTGTTTTTGTTTTGTCACATGCTTACTGTACATACAGTAAAGGAGGTTTCTCAATCTTGTCTACCTCTCTCTCAGGAACACATGCCGTTGCTGTCTATCTTCTCTCTGGCTCTCGAGCAGGACTCAGAGCAGAGCTGCGGTTTACAGCAGGCCACAAACAACATCTACACGCACTCATTTCTACAGGTACCACACCTGAACCTGAACACACATTACAGCAGGATGGCAGTGTGAAAATAGTTTTGCACATTTTACCCCACAATACCTAAAATCGTGAAAAAAAAATGGAAATAAAGTTTTATTTTATATTAAATTTAATTTAAAATAATTAAATTTTAATTTAAAATAAATCAATATTTCAATTTATTATATTATATTATAAATGTATTATTTTATATTTTTAATGTTATAAATTAAATTTTTGGATCATTAAGATTTTTTTTGCATTATCTAGATAAGTAAATTATACATATTTTTTATATTTTATAATACAATAAATATTGTATTTAAGTTTATTACTTTTTATTATATTATATTATAAATTTGTTGTATTATATTATTATACTATATTTTAATATAATACATTTAATTTAATAAAAAAAATTAAAGCCTAATTTTTGGATCATTAAGAGTTTTTTTTTTGCATTATTTCTAATACGGTTTCCCTTATGACATTTTAATTTCTCATTTATTTATTTTGGGTTTTGAGTGACCTGGATGTGTTCTTGGCAGCGTTTATGAGATTTACCCAAGCGGATCTAATGAAAGAAACAAATTGAAATGAAAAAAACATTCTCGTTCTCTTTTTCTTGTTCAGCCCATGACGCAGCGGAGGCAGGAACATGAGAAGAAGCGCAGAGACATTAAAGAGCAGTGGCAGAGGGCCAAGAGAAAACTGGTAAAGATTCAGTCCACCCTGAACTAACTAAATAACTCAACTAAACCTTGCTAAATCAAAGATATATGAGTTAAATATGTGCATTTGTGTTAATGCATTTAGAGGTGTATGTGTCTGTGTTCATCAGGCCGATGCCGAGAGTAATCTCCGTAAGGCACGTCACCTGTACGTGAGCCGCTGTGAGGAGTACGAGAGAGCTCGGACAGTGGCCAATAAGGTGGAAGAGGAACAAAGCGGAACAGGAAGTGGCTCAACCACTAAAGCTCTGGACAAGAAGAGGCGACTAGAAGAGGAAGCACGCAACAAGGTCAGCCAGCTCAAACCAAAAGGGTCTGGCTGCAGCTGGCGCTTGCACTCTCAGACACTTGCGCTTCCGCTAGCGACGTCACTTGCAGTCTTTATTTTTTTTTATTTTGTTCTATTTATTGATTACTTTTTGTTTGAATCTCTCAACATTTTACAACAGTAGCCAGGTGGTGAAGACAAGAAAAAAGAAACTAAATTACGAAGTCACTTGCAATCGCCACTTGCACTCTCCGATACCTGCGACGTCACTTGCAATCGACACATTAGTATAAAAAATTATTACAATTACTATTGCTTTCTATTTAATTTCAATTTCTATTTAATTAAATTTTAATTATTTTATTTATATAATTTTTTTTGCATAAAGAATATTTGAATATTATGCTCCGGTTGTGTGTTTAATGCATCCTATCCAGTGCACCATCTCGTACTATCAGACGATGCATGTGCAGACTGCAGCGTTGCCCGTGCATTTCCAGACGCTCTGTGAGAGCTGCAAGCTGTACGATCCGTGTCAGCAGTACGCTGCGCATGTCAAAAACCTGCAGCTCCGCACTGAGCTGTCTGTACAGTACCAGTTTGAGCCGTACTCCGCGTCCAGCCACCAGTAAGACGACATCCTGTTAGAACACATCATTTGCTTTAAGGATCAGTGGTCAAGAGCAAAGCATAGTCACAATATAATACTGAATACAGTAATGCACCGTAATAGACTGTTGTCACATGACCTCACTGCATTGCATGTTTAATTGAAATTACTTCCAGTTGCTTAATCTCAGTTTAAATGCTTCAGGAATTGAATGAAATATTAAAGTAACATGGCGTTTTGAATTCAGAAGGAAATCGAGTTGTTATTTTTTAATCAGGCACGTTCGGACCCGTAACAACAGTCTCTGTAATGACCAGCGGCAGAACAGCTCTGAAGCTTCGCCCACTGCAGAGGAGACGGGATTCGGAGAAGGGACTGTGGTTAAACAAAGACGAGGTCAAGGTCAGTTTTACAGACAGCGAACACACAGGACATGCACTTAATTTATCCATTAGAAGAGATTGCTGTCCGTGTGAGCGCCCCTTCTGGCTGCATGCAGATCTTTGTGTTTATCATTGCAGTTACAATATTTGATGTGATTTGGTCTGTATTGTTATTTTAAAATGAATAGGGTGGTCATGTGGACTTGTGTGCTGTTTTGTTTTTGCAGGTAGAGACCATCATCAAGCTCATAAGTCCTGGCCGTCCACCCTGAGTGACACTGACAGTGTTGGTCCGGGAAGTGGACTGGGCTCCCCGACCTCTAGCACAGGTATGAAACAAATACAGATCAGTCTGGGTTACAGTAATAAAATAAAATAATTTGTTATAAACAATAACATTGTGGTCTCAGGGGACATCTCAAAACCTTCAAGGCCAGTTTCTGCAGCCACCTTGTCATCCAATGAAGATTTAGAGGAGCGAGATGGTGCCGTGACCCCGTTTGAACAAAGTGAGTGACAGATTACAGAGAGAGGCATCGGAGAAGCAGGAGACTTAAAGGAATAGTTCACCCAAAAATGAAAATTTGCTGAAAATCGTCTCACCCTCAGGCCATCCAAGATTAGGATGAGTTTGTTTCTTCATCAGATTTGGAGAAATGTAGCATTGCATCACTTGCTCAGCAATGAATGGGTGCCGTCAGAATGAGAGTCCAAACAGCTGATAAAAACATCACAATAATCCACACCACTCCAGTCCAGCAGTTAACATCTGGAGAAGCAAAAAGCTGTGCGTTTCCATCAAGATGTTTTGAACTTCAAATCGTTACTTCCACCTAAAATACGAGTCCATAATCCATAATAACGCTTCCTCCAGTGAAAAAGTAGTCTGGTCTGAATCAGGAGAGAAATCTGCACAGATCAAGCACTGTTTACAACAGTCCAAAACAGCTCTAAACAAATATGTGGCTGGATTCTGATGTGAGAGACAACAGCAGGTGGACTTTTTCACTGGTGGAAGCGTTATTATGGATTATGGACTCATATTTTGGCCAGAAGAGACGATCTGAATTTATGCCTTAATGATGGATTTGTTTCTTGCAAACACACAGCTTTTGTCTTCTCCAGATGTTAACTGATGGACTGGAGTGCTGTGGATTATTGTGATGTTTTTGTGATGTTTTTATCAGCTGTTTGGACTCTCATTCTGACGGCACCCATTCACTGCAGAGCATCCATCACTGAGACACTGATGCAATGCTACATTTCTCCAAATCTGATGAAGAAACAAACTCATCCTGATCTTGGATGAACTGAGGGTGAGCACATTCTCAGCACGTTTTCATTTTTAGTGAAGTATTCCCTTAACGTGTACTCAGAAGTAGCGCAGCTCAGTGAAATTTCACGAGCGAAATCCAGTCAGTTCAAATGGAGTTGTGTGACCTGGAGTTTCGCGTGAGGATTTTGTTCATGTTCAGGTTGATCATGCGGATTCACCAACATAAAGCAGCTTGGTTTGAAAGTGACTTCTGTGTGAGCTGTGCTTTATAAATCACTACTGATAATAGACTGGAGCTTTTTCACCCTTGAAATCTAATGTGACCGCACCTTTAGACACTGTGTGACCCACATGATGACTGGTGTTTAGGTGGCGGGCTCATCTAAAATAGATTCTGCAGAACATTTACTGATCAGAACTGCAGTTTATGGGGTGATTTCAGAAAC